CTAGCAAACGTCTTTAACTCCAGTTTCAGGGGATCCGATGCCTTCTTCTGACCTCCGAGGGTATTGCATGACACAGGTGCACTTACATATATGCAGGTAGTACACTCATACACACAAAATAAAAATAATAAATAAAATATTAAAATGTTTATACTGATGGGCATGGTGGCACACACTGTTAGTCCCAGTACTTGGGAGGCAGAGACAGGAAGATCTCTAAGTTTGAGGCCAGTCTGGTCTACACAGGAGTTCCAGGATAGTCAGTGCTACATAGTAAGACCCTTTCTCAAAAATAAAAAATGAAACAAAACAACACATTTTTATGCATAAGACATTTAACTAATTTTTTAGGTTAGTTTACCAAGTAATGGGAACCATCATGGCATCTTCATACTTATGTGTCATTATACTTTGTTATTAATTGTTTCCCTCCTTGACTACCCAACATGAAGGAGGAAAACAGATTACTGGGGGTAGAAGTACACAAGCAGGGAGCAGAGCAGGGAATATCCTTCTTGTCTGCTGTCACCACTACCTTTTTACTAGCACATTCCCATCTGTATTAGTTACTTTCCTCATTACTGTGACAAAATACCCCAAAAAAGCAGCCCAAAGAAAGAAGGGTTTATTTTGGCTCACAGTTTGAGGGTATAGTCCATCATGGTGTGAAAGCATGAGAGCAAGAATGTGAAGTGGCGGTCACGTTACATCTGCAGTCAGCAGAGAGAGATGAATGCTGGTGCCCAGGTCCCTATATCCTTTATATTCAGTCTGGGACCCCAGCCCATGGAATGGTACCACCACATTTAAGGTGGATCTTACCACTTAGACTAGCCCCACTGTCTCATAACCCCACTGACATGATCAGAGGTTTCCTAGGTGATTCTAGATCCTGTCAAATTGACAGTATTACATCATTCTTCCTTTTGGTCTCAGTTTGTCTGAGAAGTTTTGCCTTGCACACAAACGTGAGACATGAGTGGAGTGCCTCTCTGACCTCACAGCAGCACCCTGCATTAACCTATCAGGATGCTTATGTTCTGTTCTCCCTGCTCACTATATATCTTTCCAATCAGACTACAAGCTGCATGCAGTCAATGACTGTATCTGTGTTTTACTTCCCAGCGTGTTACTTAGGGCATTATAGGACCTTGTTAAGTTAAATATTTGTTCAGTGAGTTCATAAAGTGATGATCGTGAATTTTCTTACTATTTAAAAATTATGGTCATAGGTTTTATAAATTTGAATTAATGATCATAGAGTTGTTTCTTACGAATAAAAATGCATAGGAAATGATTTGTTAAATGTATTGTACTTAGGATCTGGAAGATGGCTCAGTGATTAAGAGAACTTGATGCTCTTCCAGAGGACCAGAGTTCAGTTCCAAGCACCCACATCAGCTGGCTTGCAACAGCTTGTGACTCCAGCTCGAGGGGATTCCATGACCACTTCTGGCCTCCTCAGGCACCCACATGCACATGACACACATGCTCACATGCGCACAGACACACATGTGTAAATAAAAATAAACCTTTAAAATAATATTTAATGATTTATAAAATAGCCCTTTGAATTTTCATAATAAAAAAGTTGATTTAGGTTTACTCTTCATCCTTCTAGATAAAGCAAGAACATAACAGACTGTAAAACAGTTTGCCTTCAACATATTTGAGGAGGTCTTGTACAGATGAAGAAATAATTATGTTGCATTAAAAAAACCAGTATCTAGTATATATGCTGAAGACTTCATAAATATTATCTCATTTCTTACCTCTTGGGATGTTTTGGGTTTTGAAAAACATAATATTTGGGGCCTGAATTGATGGCTCGACAGTTAAGAGCACTTGCTGCTCTTGTGGAGGACCTGGGTTTGGTTCCAAGCACTCACATGGTGGCTCATCACCATCCCTAACTCCAGATCCAGGGGATCTGAGTCCCTCTTCTGGCCTTCAAAGGCATTGCACACATACCTGGTACACTTACATACATGCAGGGAAAACACTCATGCACATAAAATAAAAATGAACAAATCTTCTAAAATATAATATTAATATCTTCATCCTATTTCTTTTTGTGTGTATGCTCGTTTATTTATTTATTTTCTTCTTGACGCAGGGTCTCCCTGTAGCCTCAGCTGGTCTGGAATTCACTATGTAGGCCAGGTTGAACTTGTTCTCACAGGGACCCACCTTCCTCTGCCTCCCAGGTGCTGGGATGGAAGGTATGTGCCACCACGTCCAGCTCTTTCTATGGTTTTACAAAGTTATCATTTAGGGAGTTGGCAAAATTTGTTAGTTTAAGAAGCTGGTAGAAAGCAAAATTCACTTTTAAATATTGATTTAAACTTTGTGTTTGGTGACTATATTTATTTGAAAATTAAAATTCCAAAAATGAATGTTGACATTTTAATCTCATATTGCATTTTCTGGTTCCCTCACTTAAAAATAGTTAATGAAAATTTGAAGTGAAACTTCCAAGATTAAAAAGATAATTACACTAAGGTTTAGCGAAAAGACTGAAATAGCTGGTCTGAAAATGTTAGAAGTTGTTACTGTTAAGCCTGAAGTAAAGAGCCACACATTATTTGCAGATAAATACTACTCTGAGCTGTCTTCCCAGCTGCTTAGGCGAATAGCTAACTCTTTCAGGAGTTACAGGTGTGTGCAAATGTGTATAAATTGACCAAATAGACTGAAAATCTAAATAAATCATGCAAAAGGGCCCTGTTTCCCAACCCACACACATTTTAAGCCTTAAATACTAACAAGAGTTTTATGTAACAATATAACCATGTCCCTGAAAGAACTATGTTCTAAGTAGTTCATGTCTCCTTCAGCTTTGTTTTCTGATTAACTACAACACTCTTAAAGGATTTTAGAGTTGATTTTTTCCCTTTAAAAAACATTGAACTAAGAGAGGTCAACTAGAATGCTTCTGCTTTGTGGAATTTTCTATCCTACATGAAATGCCCACCAATTGCTCAAATCTAATCTTCAAATTCATTTATCTAGATCACGATGTAGAATCTTTCCAGCTTTCTGCAGTTGGAAATGCTTTATAACGTGTGCTATTGTTACAGTATCCATTAGCCACACAGGGTGACAAAATGTGCCTGGTGCAACTGAGGAGCTGAATTTAAATTTTCTTAATTTGAATTAAGTGAAACTTTCGCAGCTGCATTCTAGTGACCACTCCTGTGGATACACAGCATTTCTCTCCAGTTTTAGACTATTGGACATGAATCTGGAAAAGTTAGCTTGAATTTATTTCTTTAAAAATATTTTCTTTATTATTCTAATTTTATGTGTATGAGTGTATTGCCTGCATGTATGTGAGTGCACTCATGTCGTGCAATGCCGTGGAGGTCAGAAGAGAGCTTCGGATTCTCCTGGACCTGGAGTTAAGGACGGTTCGTAACTGCCATGTGGGTGCTGGGAATTGAACCCGGGTCCTCTGCAAGAGCAGTCGGTGCTCTTAACCACGAGCCATCTCTCCAGCCCTGACTTGAATTTCTTGAATCTGCTTTGAGGACAAGGCGTGGAGACTTGAAGCGTGTCACTCCACACACCTGTGTGGACTAGGCCTTGTCATCTACAGCTCAATAAAGCCGGGAGGGGGGGCAAAGATTGGGCATCTGTGAAGAGTTGTCTCACTTATTTCCACTACAGTTTTTGCTGAGGAAAATGTTAGATTCAATTCCCAGCACCCACATGGCAGCTACTTGGTTTGCTTTCATCTCTTAGCTATTGTGAAAAGAGCAGCAACAAACATGAATGTACAAGTATCTCTGCAATAGGACGAGTCCTTTGGGTATATGCCAAGGAGTGGTATAAACAAGTTCAATGGTAGGTTCATTTTTAGGTTTTGAAGAATTCACCACAGTGCTTGCCATAGTGGTCGCATGAGTTTGCAATCCCACCAGCAGTGGATGAGTGTTCCCCTTTTTTAAAATCTTATAACTACTATAGGCCTTTGACCTACATTTCTATATTTTTCCTTATACTCTTAATTTCTGTAAATGAGATTGTGCAGTGTTTGTTCTTTGCATCTGTCTTATTTCATTATATACTTCCCAGCTTTATTCATGCTGTGGACAACATCAGGCCATCCTCCTTTTAAAAAACTTTGAATAATCCTATGCTGTGTATTTATTTATCATATATTCTTCATCCATTCGTTTGTTGATGGGCATCTAGACTGATTTCACATCTTGACTATTATGAGTAGTGCTACAGTAAACATGGGTGTGCTGGTTAGTGTTTTATATGATGACTTCATCTCCTTTGGCTATGTACTGAGCATTGGGACAGATGGATCATCTGGTACTTCTATTTTTAGCTTTTTGAACAACTTCCATACTGGTTTCTATGGTGGCTAGACCAATTGACTTCTCAGCAACAAAATATAAGGGCTCTGTTTTCCCTTCATTCTTGTAAACACTTATCTATATTTCAACTTTTTAATAATGTGTACCTAATAGAAATAAGGTTATGTCCCATTGTGATTTTGATTTGCATTTCTCTAGTGATTAATAATGCTGACATTTTCCCCATACCCACCTGCCATTTGTATATTTTTTTTGGAAAAAAAAATGTCTATTCATATCCTTTGCCCATTATTTTAATAAGAAGGCAACCTGAAATAGAAGAAAATATTTTGTAAACCATGATGTGTTTAATATCTGATATAGGTATGAAATTCATACAATTCAATAGTAATAACCCAAAGCAATATGATTTTACTAGAGTCAAAGAACTAACTTTTTTTTTCTGTTTTTAAAAAGGTATCTTACCTTCTTGAAGGGGGCAGCATGGCCCATGAAGACTTCTGTGGGCATGTTGGTACAATGAACCCAGGAGACCTACAGGTATAGCCAAGATGGGGGATTGCTGACTAGTTAATAGTCTTTGGTGTGTGTGTGTGTGTGTGTGTGTGTGTGTGTGTGATTTCCAGTATATTAACCTTTTCCCTTCTCTTTGGCATACCTATGATCTGCCCTGTGTTAGCTTCTTTTCTGTTGTCATGATAAAATACCCTGACGAAAGTTACTTAAAAGAGAGTGTTTCTTTTTGTTCACAGTTCAAGTTTTACCAGAGAATTCAATGTTCTCTTTTGGGCATTCTTGGTCTTTTTAAAGAAATATTTTATTTATTATTTTTGTTTTATGTGTATGAGTGTATTGCCTGCATGCACGTAAGTGCATTCATGTCTAACAATGCTCGTGGTGGTCAGATCAGGGTTTCGGAACCTCTGGAACTGGAGTTACGGATGGTTGTTAGCCACCATGTGGGTGTTGGAATGAGTTCCTCTGGAAGCGCAGCCAGTGCTCTTAACTGCTGCGCCAAACATCCAGTCCTAGTTCTTAGTCTTTTTTATAAAACAATTTAAAAATGGACTCAGGAGGAAGATTGAGGACCATTTTCTTAGAGTTTGAGAGAAAAACAACAGGGCAGTCAAACTGTAAAACTTGACAGCTGCCAAAAGGATGGAGATAGAGAAGAGGGAGAAAGAAAGCCATGCCTTTTAGGGATAGGGTGCAAGAACCCTGGCATGTTCAGTAATAGAGGTCTGGCAAACAGCTGCATGGCAGAAGGAGAGAGAAGCTTCAGAGAAAATGAGAAAGCTCAGAGTGTCTACGAAAGCACAGTGTCTGAAAACGAGATAGGAAGAAGAAAAAGAAAACCTTACACATTTTTAGTTAGAATTCAGAAAAGTGGGCAGGCTCAATAGTGAGCTATGAGTACTGCCTGGAGAGAGGGGCTTCTGGGAAGTGTAAGTACATTGTCTCTTTAAGGGGATAATTATTCCTCCCATCTTCTTAGCATGTCTTCAGGTGAATCAGCTTTCCTGAGGGATGGCCTCATGGTCAGGTGATTGACAGTCCCAGTTGGATTAACTCTAAAGGCAGGAAACAATAGTATATAATGTTCTAATCTTTTTTTTAAATTTTTTTTTACAATTAAAGTTACAGTTTTAACAATATACAAAATGTTACAGTAATTCAGATTTTTTGGCATAATGATTACAGATTTGACAAATCATTTTATATCTCATAATAGCCATGAAGATTATACAAAAGCTATTAAAACCATTATGAGAATAAATTCAATTGTCACTTAAATATCTAAAGCTATTTGAAGGCTGAAACTCTGAAACTCTTAGAAGAAAACTTTGGGAAAAACCTACAAGATATAGGTGTAGGAAAGGACTTTCTAAACCGGACACC